GCATTGATGAATCAGTTATAAATTATGCAATTCAATACATGGATCTGCTAAAAGGATGAAATCAAACCAAATTCTTCTTGTTTCAGCAATCTATGAAGCACTGCTACCATTGTCAGAATATTAATATCATTACTACCACTGCTACGTCACTACGACTACGGCTACTTCCACAACAATCAATGGTGGGGAAACTCACCTTCTTTTTGGGACTAGTCTAAATTAAAACTAATAGATTTTTTATCCTTAGTCCCTTGTGACTTGTGTTTTTGAGGATTTGTTGAATTGTTTGCCTGACTGCTTAGAGGACATGATATTTTTTGGTTTCAGGTAGAAGTGCCGTGCGTTGTACCTTTTTATTCTTTTTACGACAGGGGATTCCTTCAATAGTCTAATCTATTGGTACATACTTTACACATAAAGTCATATTCATGTTACTTTTCATAGTGCATGCAGTCTGACAGTTCTAAATCGTGCCAGTGCCCTTGGTTTGGTACAGTTGGTGGTAAAGGGTTGATTTATCTTTTGTTCTCTATAAAAGATATTGAATCTCAAGATCTATTAAAAAGTTTGTTAGTTTGAAAACCCTATTTAATGTAAAATGTTTTCAGTGTTTGTTATCATATCCTAATATTTAGTGAAAAAACTGAAACCTGACTTTTTGCCTCTTAATTAAAAATAATTTAAAAACATAATTCTGCTGTCATTACATAGTTTCACATATTGCATATTTATTCAATGAATATACACATCTGTGGTTTCCAAATCAAAACTTCATCAAATTGCTGATAATCCAGCGATTCACACCCCTCTCGGCAGGTTGTTAATTTATTCATCCATTGAGCCAAACCACACAGCGTTTACCTAATTGCCTTGTTAAATCCAGCCGAAATGACAGCGAACCACTTTTGGTCCGATTCCATCACATTTGGCTCGTCGACAAAGATGTTTGTTGCGCCAGAGGTGTGTTACTCAGTGTTCCTCCCCATCTGCGTCTGGTGAGACACGGCGTGGAACAAAGAGCCCGTCGTCTGAAGCTGGTGTGGCGTTACGCTCACTCAGAGTTCACCTGAAACACTGCACCCATGGCTCCAGGTAACAGCCCCTGCTGACTGATACCCCACTGGGATTCTTTGACTTTATCAGGGGAAGAATCTGAACTTTGTGAATGGCAATACACGCAGGTGGTGACACGTCCCTACCCAATTACACAGTTCCTCACATTATTCACGTTTGTCAGACCTGTCTGGCCTTTCATCAGTAATAATCACATTTAGACTTAAACAATTAGATGATCTACAGTGTGTAGTCACAATGCGAAGTCCATGATGCAAGTTTATTAGTTTTATAGGTGTGTTGTTGTTAAACTGGATTAGAATCTGTGCCATTAACATCCCTACAGGTAGAGGATAAGGAAACCAGTGAGATTGCCATCAGCTATTTGTAAGGAGATGTCTTGGATGGAGAACAAGCTGTCGTCTTGAGTTTAAGAGGGTAAAAGGTGAACAGTGAACCAGAGGCAGGATTTATGACTATTAGCAGACGGTAAATAAGAAGACGGAGTTTTTCTCGTTGAAATGTGAGGAGTGATGTCATTCACACGACTCCCCCGACACAGAAAGTGAGAGGCGGATCAGGGGTAGACACCGTTAGGTGAGCTCTCAGCCCTTTGTGTGACACCCAACCTTAGCCCCAAGGGTCCTGTGTTATAACACATTCAGGCCTGTCTGTGCTTGACTTTGGTAATGGTTCTTGCACACTTCTGGACAATTTACAGTAAAAAGTGAGACATTATTTATTTGGTAACTATTGATATGTTCATCTTGGCCTGTTGAAGCAGTAACATGCTGCATTTCGTCTTAAGTGCTGATGGAGATTGCACTTTGAATGACATTGTTTTTCTGTTACATTAGCAGCTCCTTTACACTTGGTTGTTCTACTGTAATTTAGATAACAGTATCGTCTTTACCCTGAGACACTTGCCTCAAGTGGTTGAGAGGGTAACATGTAGTGACAGTTCCTGTACCTGACACACCACCTCTGAACAACACTTGGCAGGCAGCTTGTCTAGACCACACAGAACTCCCCTCTTTGAGTTTATGCCATAGGTGGCAGCATATTTCCTTCCTGTCAATGCAACAGTTAATCAAATTTGTTTTGGTGCCTTTGGTTTTCAAATTATACCGTATTTCTCTGTAGCTTTTCTGCTTGGTAAATGTTGAAGATTTTGTTTTTGAAGCATTTTATGTTCTGTGAGGGACTTTTACTTCTGTAAATGTAGGTTTTACTGTTTTCTACTGGGTGAATCTGTTGGTGTAGGATACTCAACTCACTAGTCCTCCTACAAACTTCATTGGCACATTTCCAATACTATTTTACTGCAGTTTGCACATCTGCTTTTTTAATTAGTTGTCATATGCTCATATTAGTAATAGAAGTAATCATGCAAAATTTGATTGCATTGTGCCTTTTGAATGATGCTTTGATTTGCTTCGATACATATATACTTTGTCAAACATTGCAACAGATAATATATATCCTACTCTCTACTAGATGCTATAGAAGCAGGATGAATTAAAAAACGTAATATTCTCAGACAGGTTTGAGGAATATTCACCAAAAGAAACCACGTCCTGTCATCAACCAATGAGCTTTATTTCTATTACTTTATATTAATTAGAGGGTTGTGCAGCCTCGACGGAGGTAAATGCTATTTGGATGCTTTCCCAAATGGGCAGTATGTGTGTTTGATAGCCTCTCATGCTCCTCTTGCTATATAAAGTAAATATTTTTTCTACTTATCACCAGTGTGGTGTCTGCATGTCTGCAGCGCCACAAAGATGGAAGTACTCAACTTTAGTTCCATTAAATTAGTTAATTGCTGATTACCAACTATCACATTTTGCTGTGATTTGTTACAATAGTTCCTCTCTGATGTCTTTGTGTTAGTTTATGTGCCTCTCTGCCACCAGCTGTCATGAAGCTATTTTTTCATGCATCCCAAATTAATAGACACTCACTCGTTCTGAAGTGTCTGATGCCATTGTAATACAAGCCATGTGGCATTCGGCCAAGGCTGCAATATAAGACACAATTGTTCCGTTTTTTTCTCTCTTTCTGCCTGTTTTAATGCACAGTAATAAGTAAGTAAATGGTGGAAAGATGTGTGTCTGAAATCGCAGTGGCCTTTGTTGCAGATAATTAGGTTAGCAGCAAGAGTGTGCAGGTGTTGAGGGTGTGCTGTGTGCTCGTGTTGTGTTATCGACTTGCTCATATTCGTAGGCTGTCAGGGGTGTCGCACTTCCCATCAGCCCCAAAGCTCACCAACCTCTTCACTATTAAAATGATCACTTTCAATAGCAGACAAAGGAAAGAGGGAACATATCTAGTGCAGGGTATTTTCCCCACCTCTAATGCTTATCTGCCTTTTGATGTCGGCGTAATAAAAGGCCTATTGGGCTTCCACAATGACCTGCAAAATGGACAAGGGCCGATATACTGCGCTCTGACTGTCGCTACCATTAACTAAAAGGCCCAGACATTATGGAGAGCCGGGGATGAAAGAACATGGAAAAAAAATAATAATTGAAAAATTGCCTAATGCTAAAGTGAAAGAAAATGGAACTGTGAAAAGGCACTGTAATATTCTGTTATCCCCTGTAAATGCAGCCAAATAAGAGATGCAGCGAGGCATTCTTTTTGAAATGGATGTGGTTCAATTACCTGCATGTCTAAATCTAGTTAAGGCTTCCATTGTCAAGCTCAAACATAACAGGCAGTTTTGATGTAGTGTTAAAGCGTATTATGACCTACAACCTACATAAAATGAAGAGAGGTATGACTCCATTCAAGATGTGGAGGGGAATTAAAAAAGCTCCCAGCGAAAACAAGGTTAATTTAATATTTATTCTGTTTCAGACTGCCGTTTGGATCACTGTTCCAAAAGAGTTGCACAATATTTTTGCAGGGTTAAGGAAAATTTGACCGATTTTTCAAATTTCTTTGAAGGCCATGTCTGGATGACTTAATTGGTTCTTTTTGCAAATATGATCTTCCAATAAAAGGAAAACTGATATGTTTTACCATGTAACACATGTAGTCATGTAGAAAAGTACAGACACGTTCAAACTGGAATGGATCCCCAAATAAGCATGGCTGAAAAAGTGTGTTGATTAAACAACAGAAAATTAATCAGCGTCATTTTTCTCGCAAAAAAGTCAGTTGAATATCTTTAAGTTTTTGACTGGATGGAACAAGCAATTCTGGGCTTGTTGCTATTTTACAACATTTGACTTAAACAACTAATCCATTTATTGAGAAAATAATCGGCCAATTAACCAATAATGAAGATAATTGCTAGTTGTTGCATGGATTAGCTTATTTGCCAATAAAAAGAGGTTCGTCAAGGGTAGATGGGACTGTTATTGGTACTTCATTCCGAGGACTGCAATTCTATATGAAGTTACCTGCTACAAATTTGAAATATAGTCATTTAAAGGTCCATTGTGTAGGAGTTAGTGGCATTTAGGGAAGGTGACCTGCATTCTCTGTAGATATGAAAGGCTCATTCAAAAGTAACAAAAGCACAGTTTTTATTTTCAAGTGATTTTACACTAATGGAAACATAGTTATGTATATTATATTCCATTTATCCTAATAGATCTTCCTAAATTCAATCTATTCTTTCTGGGTTGAAATGGTTTGACATATTTTTTTTTACCCATTATCAACCCAGCCCCTCTTCCAACAAACCAGAATCAATAGGTTGATACTTGTTCTTCAGTCTACAAGCCCACAGACTAAGCAACAGCTTGTACATGTAGAGGTCAATGGTGAAAGTCATGAGTGTCTGCTTATCTCTCTCCAAAGGTCAGCAGGTCTCCGTCAGGGTCATGACCCCTGCAAAAGCCCTGCATATCCAAGAACAGAGCCTTGTTTTCTAGCCACTTTATAACCTTAATTATCTCTATGTCCTATTGACTTCTCTCTGCCCCACTCTGCAGGTTACTGTTAAAATGTACAAGCGTGGATCTCATAGCTGGCTGGGTAAATCGCTGAACGCCACCGCCACCATCCCCTCCAACACCTTTGTGATCTTCAGGATCAGCGGGGAGGAATCAGATGCCAAAATCCCAGCAAACACCATTCACAGCATCACACTCAGCATGTGACAGTGTGTGTATCAGTCAGTAAAGAGGTTAGCCATCACAACATGGTGCTGCAGGGAAAGGAAGTGTTTTTAATCACGTATGTAGACACAAAAAAAACAAAACTCTTAATTTAGCTCAAACCTAACGACATTTTACTGAGTGCCTTTTACTATGCAGTGTTTGTATTTTGTTATATTGTATTAACAACACAAGTTCTGTCTTTAACTAAGCATTTATCCTAAAACAAAAAAAGAAAGAAAGAAAAGGCCCAGTTGCCGATTTCCTTGACTCTCTGATCCTCAGTGGCAATGTTATGTTAATGAAGATGGTTTCAGACAATTAGCCTGATTAACTTTCTCTTGTTTTGAATTTCTAGGGCTGGCCCACACTTTACACAAGCCATTAATTAATCATTATGTTAGCTGATTGTGTCACATCAGTTCAGGACTGAAGTGTCTAATGTGTTAATTGTGGCAGTTAAAAACTGCTGGCCCCTAGCAAGATGAGGGCCATGTTACTGCCTCTATGGGTTTAATGGGCGGTGATTTACAGTCTGTTTAGATGGTGTAACTGTAAGGTGCTTTATTAATATGCTCCACCGCACAGAGGAGATGATAACATATTCAAGAGCGCACAGGCGCAGCCACCAGCACCATTCATAACTGTGTCTGAGTCACTTTCCATCGGTTACCAGGCTTGCACAGCTGCGCTAACAGCTAGCAATTGTATTTACTGTGCCTGGTAGTGGCCGAAATGAAGTTATTTCCATCAAGATATCAGTGCCTTTAGCTAATGCAATAGAAGGAGCTCTCTGTGTTGATGGTATCTCTTTGCATGGCATCTCTCTACCTGAAACATCATTACACTGTACTCAAGCTCCTCACTTTTTCAAATGTCTGCTTTAGTGTTTTACCTGGGCGGTCAGATCATTGGTAGTTGTACAAACAGCAAAGTGTTGTTTGCATTTGTAGGCGCACATTTTTTAGACTCTGGTTGTTTTCAGGTCATGGTCAACATTGCTTGAATTTAGTGTTTTGATGAATTTATTGTCTTCGCGTATTTAAACGTAAAGAGTGTCCTCAACTGTTTGCTCCACAATAAAGAATATTGACAATATCAGATGATCTAGGATGACAAGGAAATTACTACATGTAATTCTAATTGGTGGGTGCATGCAGGTTTTACTGTAGTTTTTTGTCAATTTTTTTTATTTAAAAACTTTAAGCACTTTCAGCATCAAGCCAACTTCAGAAGCATGATTGTTAACCATACTCCTCAGTTGAATGATTTAAGCATGGTTGTTTTATTCATTGGTGTGTGTTTTTAGTTATGGTATCAGCAACTGTTTTTATGTTTACATGTATTTGTACTATCTGGTCTCTTAATAAAAAGATTTGATGATTTAATGCTTCTCATAATGATTTACACAGTTTTGGAATAAGGCGGCCTCTCCAGAATTTCTTTCACCTGATTGCGTCCTCCAGATCATCATGGTGCAAATGATCTGTAATATTCAAAGTCATGTGTCACTACTGGGCCACAAGGTTTCTTCAAAGCCTTGTTTTGGGAGATGGAGGGCATCCGTCGACAGCTCACTCTGCCCTTTGAAAGCATGCAGCACGTCTCCAGCGCGGTAAAAGACTGGATATTAGGAATGGATGACTGGCCACGGGGACAATGCGGGCTCTGTTGGGCAGTGTGGTGGCAAGAGGGAGGGGAAGCTGAGCGGAAATGGACATGGAGATCAGACCAGAACATAGTGTGACAAGGTAACAAGGTAAACTGATCTGGCCTGTAATTCCTCTGGAAACTGAATCAATGAGGGTTCTGTTAAAATTGAAATCCTCCCGGATATCGAGTTATGGTCAATCTATAGCACAATAGAATCAGCTATAAATATGTAGTTTTCCTTTGCAGTAAACATGTCCGTCATGTAACCCACAGCTGTTCTGACCACCTGTAAGTTACATGTTTTTACATCCAGAAAGAGTTGGTGAACCAGTACGTCCAGGAAGTGAAGAACTAAAAGTCTTGACCCTGCTGTAAGACCATGTGTCCAACTTTGACCTCTGGCCATTCGGTCCAGTCCCCAGAGGTTGTCAGGTCAGGTTTGACTGGTTTTACCTTTCCTTTGTGCAGGGCATGGAACTGTAGAGCAGCCTGGATATGAAGGACGGATCCCTCTCGAATGACAAGGAAAGGAACGAGCCACTGTCTCAGCCACAGTCATTCAGTTGGAAACCACAGGGCTGTATTCAAACGGGTCTGTACTCGAGGAGAAAACTATTTTTCCTTTCACCTGCTTGAACACAGACGCAGTTTGACAAGCCAGATTTCAGTGTTGAACAAACTCAGCAAACAGTTTGACCGTATTATGTGAACCCCTATCTTCTGTGAGTTTGCTGCTTCAGCTTGACTGGCTCAAAGGTTCTGTTCAGGCAGAGGTCAATACGCTCTTTTTAACTGTAATATTTTCTGAGATTCAGCGTGTTTCATCAGTAAAGGGCCCTAGAGATGAGATTGTGTTGTACTGAGAGTCTAACCCCACAGGAAAAGCTGTGTTTACTGTAAGTGGGGAAACAACTAGGAAAGACTCTTGGCTCTGATTGCCCCCCTGCATAAACACAATGTGAACGCCAAAATGCACTGAAACATCCAACAATATTCAGCAGTTAGCTGTCCTGGACATCACTTTGTATCATGGCAGCTGCCTTGGCTTCTTCCCTCAAGTATTTCTCCTAAATGAAACATACAACAAACATACATTATTACCACTTAAAGGGTCAGGTCATCTAAATAAAAAAATAAAAAGCACATTTTCCTCTCTGCATCCACCAGGATCCAGCCTCTCAGATAGCTTTGGTTTTATTTGCCATGGTTTTTGAGATATCCACCTCTGAGATTTTTGCCACCCGTATACAAAATATAAAATACGGTATTTAACACATTTAAAAAAAACAAAAAGTCTACAGCCATGCAGGTAGCTCTGTTGTATTTAGAGTGGTGCTTTGAGCTAAATGCTAATGTGGGCATGGTAACATACTTACAATGATAATGCAAACATGCTGATGTATAGCTGGTATAATTTTCACTGTTTAATTATTTTAGCACATTATCGTGCTAACATATGTTAACTAGCACTACTACTGAACAAATTAAAATTGTACAGTTCATCCTAAATCCAGTGGGAGATGTGAATGTCCTTGTAAATGTAGCATGGCAGTCCATCTGATAGACAAAGCCACAGGATCACCAATGGCGTTAGGATCGGTTGTCTGTACACCATGGAAGTCTGCGCCAAAGTTCATGGCAATGCATCCAATAGTAGTTGATATATTTCAGTCTAGACCAAAGTGGCCGTCAATACAGCCATGCTGCTAAGCGTGGCTAAAAACTCAACAGCTATACAATCTTTCCAGAAACAATGTTTCTGTGGACAAAGGTAACAAAGGTTACTGTGGATAATCCAAAGACCCTGCTGTCAACAGTTTTCACTTAAACTACTTTGTACTAAAGAAATAGTTCCACTAAGAACTGATGACATTCTCCTCAACTTTGTGACCATACATCAGTTATTCCCAACCTGTGGGTCAGGACCCTGCTTCTTAAAATTATATTTATTTTTCAGACTTTTTTTCAGTTTTTCTTGCAAATAGGCAACTCACATTTTCAGGGGTCACAAGTAGACAAGCGACTTTATATTAAGGGGTCACACAAAATTGTTACAGCTGTATACTTAGATGAATACAGGATCTGTGTTAAAAACATATGTAACTGAATTCCACCTGAAAAAGCAAATAGCAGATATTTCACCATACCTCTTAGCCGTAGTATTCATATAAAGCTGATGTATCAGAAGGTCAAGGGTTCTTATGAGGAAAAAAAATGCACTGATGTAACAGTGAAAAATCTTTTAATGCATTTTACAACAGGATAAAGTGTAATTGTGGTGAAAACATAACTACATGCTAGATTTTGCAGGCTTTTATACAACTACAATGTGATGATGAAAGGAGACAGGCTGTCTCTCTAATGCCCACCAACCTCTATTCTGTGACCGCTACTTTACTGAACAGCATCAAAGCTTTCAGAGCGTGAAAGCAAAAGGATTCATAAGAGATTAAATGTTTTTCCACTTCTTGCAGATGTTCAAAATTAATTAGGGTACTCAAAGGTATCATCAAGACCCTATTAAAGGTTTAGTTATTATTACACTTCAGTGTCCAACAAAAAAAAGAAGAATCTTTCAATTGTGTAAAAAATAAATAAGTGGGCACATGGTTAAGAACAGCAAAGGGGCTGCGGAAATTATCCAGTTTTGAAACAACTCTCAAAAGCACCACACTTATAAAAACCCACAGACCAACAAAAGACATGCGGGAGTGAATGAAATGAAGCTTCCTTGCCAATTACTGTTGCGAACGTGGCTGTGGTGGGGCTTTTTGTGCTTTACACAAGCAAGTCTTTTCTCCCCTTGTCCCCGGCTATTGAGAGGGATACATTAGCCAGGCGGGATGGATGGAGTGGAGAGGAGCAGAGCGGAGTGTTGGCAGTCATACAGCTCACTTCACGCCTGGTGTTACAGACCTCTCTTATGACTTCACTCACAGTGCTCGCACAGAATGTGATTTTTACTATGTCATTTTCTACTTCCTTTCTAAGACTTGGACAAAAATCCAGACATGTAAAATATCTGCTCACTTTAAATGGTAGTGATGACATTTATGTGTGGTTTAATTTATCCATTGTGCTGACACGAAATGTATTTTGTTGACTGTTTACTAGAAAGTAAAATAAGGTCTGTAATCACATATAGCGTATTTCCAAAGGATGCCATTCTTGCTTCAAACAGTCCTGCTCTTCTTTTCATCTCCAGAACAATCAGTTTTTCCCTTTTTCAGGCAGATTTACAAAGTTACTATTTTTTTCAGGGGCACCCTCCCACTAAACATGTTAGTTAAAATCCGCTAAATGAATAAATGAATTAATTGAAAAGTTAATGTTTTCAGGCATTTAGATGTAACTGTAAACTATTTCAACTCGTCGTCTCATTTAAATACTTCTAAAACAACCAAAAACCTATTTTTTTAATTCAATTCAGCCCAGTTTGAACCTAGTCATGTTTTAACTGGCAGATGCTTGCAACACTTTGTGATGTTTTATTGTATTTTGTCATGTACATGCCTCTGGACCACCTCAATGAATGCTCAGCTCTTTTTGCAGGGGTCACAGCTACGTGTGGGTAAATGTGCTGCCTGTGACAACTATCAGCAAGGTTAATGCTGCCGATAACAACATCCATCATTCAGTTTCATTAGCGCAGTCCTTTGACCTGTTCCACATAATGTTGTCAAATGTGTCAGGCGCCAGATTATTGGGAGGTATGATGATCAATAGAGAAATAACAGAGAGCTGTGTGTGACGCTGCTGGCACAGCTGCAGAATAAACCTCCACCCAGCGTTCTGCCGCCTGTCACAAATCTGAAAAAACAAATGGATTAGCCCAAGGCAAGAGCCATCAATAATAATATAATGTGTGGACGATGATGAGTTAGTGCCAGACTTCTCAATGCATTGCCATTCTACGCACAGAAACATCACCAGATGAATGCATTGATCTCTGTTTTCACATTAGTTTAGCTTAATCTGCATTTGAGTCGATGGGTAAACACACAGTTTCACTTCACTGAATTCAGAAAAGTTAATAATGTCCAATAATCAAAAGCTGTTTATGAGAGCACCTCTTTTTTGTGTCATTGATTTGACTTTATAATGCACTGTGGTCGCTGATCACTCAGACAGAATGCACTTAGGAAATGACAAATGTACTTTATATTCAATGACATAGATTTTTCCCTGCTTAGCCACAGGTTGGAGTTACAGGCAAACATTTCCACACATATAATAAGTATAGACGTTAACTAATAGTAACATTGAATGTTCCCATTACATTTTCTCATTGAACTCTTGTTCTGGGATGCTGAAGGATTCATTTCACTCTGATCTTGACTTGATGTTTAAATAACTTTTTTGAAAATCTGCTTCCGAAACAAGATCAAGCTAACTCTAAATCTCTTTATTGGTTAAATCTCTTTTTAAAAAACACAATATTATTGTAATTTGTGCTTTTGCCTGCATTCATAGTTTAATTAACTCAATATTTATGTTATTTGTGGTAAAAGTCCATTATAAAGTTATTAACTGAAGAGGCATTTAGCACCCTCCTTTAATTTGTAAGAGCCTTTACTGCTGGACCCATCATTTTTAAACCTACATTTACTTTGCACTTCTCAAACAATACTGCAGTCAACCTACATAAACGTCCGTGGATTCACACATAAACAATGTAATATTACACAAAACCAGGAGAACTAATAGCAGAAAACAGCTCCAAGCTGCTTCATTT